CGTTGAATGAAGTTGTAAGGTGTTCGTCTGAAGAGACTGCCTCCATGGTGTTGCAACTTGTTCCTGTTATCATGATTGAACTGCACAAGACTCTTGAGGGCCAGAAGGTTGCTTCTGATGAGATAGAGAGGCAGAGTGAATTGCAAGGACTTCTTTGTGGGTGCTTACAGGTCATTATTCAGAAACTAGGCTCATCAGAGCCAACTAAATATGTTTTTATGCAGTATGCGGATCAGATAATGGGACTTTTCTTGAGGGTATTTGCCTGTAGAAGTGCTACTGTCCATGAAGAGGCCATGCTTGCCATTGGGGCCCTTGCATACACAACTGGCCCAGACTTTGCAAAATACATGCCAGAGTTTTACAAGTATCTGGAAATGGGGCTTCAAAATTTTGAGGAGTACCAAATCTGTGCTGTCACAGTTGGTGTGGTAGGGGATATTTGTAGAGCAATTGAAGATAAGGTTCTGCCTTATTGTGATGGAATTATGACCCAGCTTCTCAAGGATCTATCAAGCAACCAGTTGCACCGCTCTGTAAAGCCTCCTATATTCTCCTGCTTCGGTGATATAGCTCTTGCAATAGGAGATAACTTTGAGAAGTACTTGATGTATGCCATGCCAATGATCCAGAGTGCTGCAGAGATGTCTGTCCTCACAGCAGGTGCTGACGATGAAATGACAGAGTACACCAATTCTCTGAGAAATGGAATATTGGAGGCATACTCTGGGATTTTCCAAGGTTTCAAGAACTCCCCAAAAACCCAGCTCCTGATATCTTATGCTCCTCACATCCTGCAGTTCTTGGATAGCATATACATGGGGAAAGACATGTGAGTTGTTTTAATGTCTAGTTCTTGTTACAAAATTGCATTTTTTGTTTTGTTGTTTATCTATTTTTTTTAATAATAAAAATGATATCCACTGGTATGTAGGGATGAAGTGGTGATGAAAACAGCCATTGGTGTCCTTGGAGATCTAGCAGATACACTGGGAAGCAATGCAGGTTCTTTGATACAGCAATCTCAGTCATGCAGAGACTTTTTAAATGAATGTTTGTCTTCAGAAGACAATTTGATAAAAGAATCTGCAGAATGGGCCAAGTCGGCCATCAGTCGTGCCATTTCTGTTTGAGGCTACTGCCACTTGGTATATTCCATTTGTTTGGAAGTCCCTGCATGCATTTGGGTGTGTTGAGTTGGGTCATAGGATTGCATGTGTCAAGTCATCGCCATTTTCAGACAACGGAAGCTGTCAGTAGTCTTCAAGTTGTCACTAACTTGCATCATCTCCAAAAGTTGTGACTAACAATTGCATCAGCCCCTCAGGCTTTGGTTCCTGGATTTTTCAAGGAGATGAAGAGTGGGGGGTAGTGAATGTCACAGAAGGGGGTCAAGGCCTGCAATAAAAATTAACAAAATTCTGTGTGTCACAGAATATGTGGGGCATCGGAGGAAGGTCAGTGACATTCATGAGCGTCAGTTTTCTGAGTCACCAAGGTTAATTGCTGTCTGAAAGCTAAACAAAATCTTGTTAACCTTTTCCACCACCCCATGGTGATTTCCTCCCAAAGAGATTGGGGTCAGAACGGATGAGTAATGCCTAATGTTGTCGGGGTACTGACGTCTTGTCACTACTCTCAGCAGTATATTCCTGAAAAATCCTCCGTTGCAGGTCTTCATTCCTTGAATTTCAGTCAGCTCTTCCTTTTGTTTCGTGTTTGCATATTCGCCATCTTTTTACTTGTCCTAGTCAGTGTGTATTCCTGAGCATCTCCGTATCAAGTCTCTACTGTTTTCAGTTCTCTCAAGAGTTGAGCATTAGCATGAGCTATTTTGGAAACGCAGATCTTACATTTGCATTAGCCAGTTTTCATTTTTCATCTTTGTTAGGAGGTTGTGTTAGCTCATATTGTCCAATACCATGCATTCATGAAATCATTTGTTATGTCGCTTTTTGAAAGACAGGTTTTTCTTTTTTGCTTGGGGAACATGTAATCATATATGTTTTTGTTTTTTCTCTTTTGGGAAGTTGTTTATCATTATACATCACAAATTGTGATGGCATAGCGAGGAATGGAGCATGATATTATTTGTTGGAAGAGGCCTTGTATTTGTTTATCTGCCTGCCTCATGTGTTGTTTCTTTAAAGTGAAATTCCACAGTTAATGCATACCAAATACGTTGCTTGAATGATCATCCTGTTGTTGAAGCACTCTGATCAGAATGATGGATTATTTTATTGCTATGTTTAGTTTTGCGCATCTTGCTAATGCCTTACTAAGATTTTATATTCGATTGCATTGGATTGGGTTCGAGGAAGCAAACCCTGAGAATTGGGTTCTCGGTGAAAAAATGTGGCATTTTTCGAAGCCCACCAGGTACTTTCTCTTATTCAGAGAAGGCCCTAACTCGACCAAACAGCGGGCCCAAAATCGATCCTGGTTGAAACTTGAAACTTAAGTATTTATATTTTGGACGAAACTTGAAACTGAAGTTTGTAACTAGTAATC